CGCTTTCCCCCAAAGCCGTAACGGCGAGAGTTCAGGCCCAGCAGGACAACCCCGTCCCACGGCTCGCCCCCGCCGCGGCGGGGAGCTTCCCTCCTCCTCCTACCCCCTCCGAATACTTTATTTTTGGGGTGGGGGGGTGATTTTTCTTCTGTCTTGGCTCAGCTGAAGGCGTTGCTGTGTTTGGCTCCATTCCTGGACAGCGAAGCCTGCAGAGAGCCAGGACGCAGCGAGGGCTCCCAGTCGCCGTCCGGTCCTTCAGCGGACGATGCCTTAAAATGGTCTTTTTGCAGGCTGGGGGGGGGGTCCCGGAGCTCCCCCTCCCCAGATTTTTGGTAGATGCATAAAGGTCTCGCCAGCACGTCACGCTCAAAATAGGGCCCTGGCAATCTGGGACCCTCCCGGTGCCGTGACATTTGCAAAATGCAAAACCCTGGAAGCAAAATGTAAAATCCCAAGTGCAAAATGCCAAACGCCAAATGCGACATCTGAAACACCAAACGCCAGAAAGTCCCCCAGGTGCAACACCCCGCTGCAAAATGCCCGGCGCAACGCTCCAAACGCCAAATGAAAAACCCGAAGTGCAACACCCTGATGCAAAATGCCGGCTGCAGCACCCCGAAGGTGACATCCCAAATGCAAATTCGGATGCGCAGGGTGCTGGACCCGGCCTCCCAGCCCCCTGCCCTGCCGGGGCTGCCTCCCCGAGCCGCGGCACCGAACCGGGCGCCGGCGGGGTGACCGCAGTCCCCCGGAAGGCAGCACCCTGCGGCGGGGGACGGCGTTATCTCAGGGGCTGACGCTTTGACACTTGGGTGAGAGCGCGGTAAAACCCCCCAGGAAGGCGGCAGATGGAGGGCGGAGGGGAGCTGTGAAATTTCCCACGGGGCTCCCCCAGCCTCCAGCCCCTGCGTCCCATCAAGGAGGAGGGCGGAGGAGGAGGAGGAAGGGGAGGTAACTCGGTGGCATTCCTTGGGCCGGGCTCAGAGGGCTGGAGGAGCTCGGTGAGCCCGGGATGAGCTGAGCTGAGCTGAGCCCAGCGGCCGGCGGCATGGAGGAGGCGACGGACGCCTACGCCTACGGGGACAACGAGACG